ACTACCAATGGCATTTCTCACAGAAATAGAACAAAAAATTTCACAATTTGTATGGAAGCACAAAAGACCCCGAATAGCCAAAGCAATCTTGGGAAAGAAAAATGAGCTGGAGGAATCAGACTCCTGGACTTCAGACTATACTACAAAGCTACAGTAATCAAGAGAGTATGGTACAGGCACAAAAACAGAAATATAGATGAATGGAACAGGATAGAAAGCCCAGAGATAAACCTACGCATGTATGGTCACCTTATTTTTGATAAAGGAAGCAAGAATATACAATAGAGAAAAGACAGCCTCTTCCATAAGTGGTGCTGGGAAAACAGGACAGCTACATGTAAAAGAATGAAATTAGAACACTTCCTAACACCATACACAAAAATAAACTCAGAATGGATTAAAGATCTAAATGTAAGGCCAAACACTATAAAACTCTTAGAGGAAAACATAGGCAGAGGGGCTTCCCTGGTGGTGCAGTGGTTGAGAGTCCGCCTGCCAATGCAGGGGACACGGGTTTGTGCCCCGGTCTGGGAAGATCCCACATGCCCTGGAGCAGCTGGGCCGCTGAGCCTGTGCGTCCAGAGCCTGTGCTCTGCAATGGGAGAGGCCACAACAGTGAGAAGCCCGCGTACTGAAAAAAAAAAAAACATAGGCAGAACACTCTATGACATAAATCACAGCAAGATCCTTTTTGACCCACCTCCGAGAGAAATGGAAATAAAAACAAAAATAAACAAATGGGTCCGAAAGAAACTTAAAAGCTTTTGCACAGCAAAGGAAACCATAAACAAGACGAAATACAACCATCAGAATGGGAGAAAATATTTGCAAATGAAGCAACTGGCAAAGAATTAATCTCCAAAATATACAAGCAGCTTATGCAGCTCAATAACTAAAAAACAAACAACCCAATCCAAAAATGGGCAGAAGACCTAAATAGACATTTCTCCAAAGAAGATATACAGATTGCCAACAAACACATGAAAGAATGCTCAACATCACTAATCATTAGAGAAATGCAAATCAAAAGTATAACGAGGTATCACCTCACATCACTCAGAATGGCCACCACCAAAAAATCTACAAACAATAAATGCTGGAAAGGGTGTGGAGAAAAGGGAACCCTCTTGCACTGTTGGTGGGAATGTAAATGGATACAGCCACTATGGAGAACATTATGGAGGTTCCTTAATAGACTAAAAATAGAACTACCATACGACCCAGCAATCCCACTACTGGGCATATACCCTGAGAAAACCATAATTCAAAAAGAGTCATGTACCACAATGTTCATTGCAGCTCTATTTACAATAGCCAGGACATGGAAGCAACCTAAGTGTCCATCAACAGATGAATGGATAAAGAAGATGTGGCACATATATACAATGGAATATTACTCAGCCATAAAAAGAAATGAAATTGAGTTATTTTTAGTGAGATGGATGGACCTAGAGTCTGTCATACAGAGTGAAGTAAGTCAGAAAGAGAAAAACAAATACCGTATGCTAACACATATATTTGGAATCTAAAAAAAAAAAAAAAAGATGGCTCTGAAAAACCTAGGGGCAGGACAGGAATAAAGACGCAGACATCGAGAATGGACTTGAGGGCACAGGGAGGGGGAAGGGTAAGCTGGGACGAAGTGAGAGAGTGGCATGGACCTATATACACTACCAAATGTAAAAGAGCTAGCTAGTGGGAAGCAGCTGCATAGCACAGGGAGATCAGCTCCGTGCTTTGTGACCACCTAGAGGGGTGGGATAGGGAGGGTGGAAGGGAGGGAGACGCCAGAGGGAGGAGATATGGGGATATATGTATATGTATAGCTGATTCACTTTGTTATAAAGCAGAAACTAACACACTGTTGTAAAGCAATTATACTCCAATAAAGATGTTAGAAAAAAAACATGTTGTACACCCGAAACTAAAAAAAAAATTAAAAAATAAAGAAAAGATTACTAGGAATAGTGAATGGAATTCCAAAGTGAAGAAAATGTGTAGAAGATGAAAGGTATCCCCCCAAAAAGGAAAGTGATAACTCAATAATTGGAAAATAAAAGTACTAAAAATCAGCACTAAAATGCCCTGCATGCTATGAAGCTAAAACCCATCCGAAAACACCTTCTTAAGAAAAGTACTGAATTTTTTTCACCTGGAGATATTTATTAAGAATATATCTCCAAATTTATTATCAAAGTCCAAAAAGGAGCTACAATAACTCTTTATAGATAGTCCCCAAATAAGAAACATGGATGAAATCCATCTGGCCCACTGGAAGTAGAGCTGTAGGATAGAGTATTTTTAAAATTTATCTTTCTTGATTCTCTTAACAATGTCCTTTATAGTTAAAGTAACTTATTTTAAAATTATACACCTATCTCTGCATTTTAAAGATTTTTTTTGTAGGTTTTATTGTTCATTTTTTGATAAAGAGAGGTGGGTGGGGGAAGTGAAATGGAATAGAAACTGGGTCTCCACAACAGCCTAAGATCTTAAAAATAAAACAAGTAGACACAAGTAAAGATAAAGACCAGAAACAGCCACCCACCTTGCTCCTAGTGTCAGCCTGCCCAAAGCAGAGCCAGAGCTACACGTGGGCGGGGGAGACAGCCTGGGTTGTAAATTGCCACAATAGATAATGGAGAAAAACAAGAGTACCTGCAACAAATGACACCCAGTTGAGATAATTCAGTTTGTCAGTTTGGGTAGCTAATAAGCCTCCATTACAGTTGGATACATGGGGAGAATCCAGTTTCATCTATATAAAAGAATCAATCAATCCTAGAAGCCACTGTCTTTGTCAGCTTTGGAGTAGTAACCTCCCCAGAGACAGAGACCAAAAGAGCTAAAATCTTACGAACCTCACCCCTCAGCCCTTGCCTTCATCGGAAATCATAAAATAGACATATAAATGAGATTCCAGGAACGCTGAACACAGTGTAGCCTGAGAGACAGGGCTCTGGGGAGCTCAGAGGAGCCGTGGTGGGCAGCTCCGAAGCACAGCTTTCCTGATTTTCTGACGTCACTGAGACTCCTCCTAGCTACAGCCATGCTGATCACTGTCTGAGCTCTCTCAGGAATAAATGAATTTAGTTAAGCCAATCGTTCTTGTCTCTGGTGTTAATCAAATCCCATGCCATGTATATGTGACCCACCTCATTCAAAACAAACCTCTACACTATTCAGGAAGAGCTGCAGCCCATATCACCCTGACTTGCTGCTTCAAGTTAGGGCAGTTTTCAGTGTTCAAAGCAGAAACAGATGATTCTCCTCTTTGACTTACTTGGTCTGATGCCTTGAGAAATCCTTCCACTGGTGGAAACCTACATAATCAAACTTGGCGGACGTATCCTTAGCAGCTTCGCAGATTAAATAGAATGCTCTTTAGACAACTATAGTCAATGTGAGTTGTCCTTTTAATGTTCTAGGGAGGTTTCCACCAAAGTCCTGCATCTCACATCCTTACTCCAGGATCCCTCAGGGATTGCTGAGTCCAGTTGTCCTTTGTTTATCTTTATCTCTGACAAAATTACTAGATCCAGCAAGCACTATGGAGCATAAAAATCACATAGTACCTATACTAATATCTTCTGTATATGAGCTATGTGACTCAGAAGTAAGAGCAAGTGAGATTACACAACCTCTTAGGGAAAATCAGTGAGCCCACAGGTTGTGTGTGCGGTTGATCTGTCTATAACTGATGATGCAAGCTTGAAGCAAACACCTCTCCACACCAAAAGGCATCCTTAGACAGCAGACAACATTCTTGAGGGGCTGAATTGCTGTGTAATTAGAAAGTATGAATGTAGAATAAAATAATCTTGGAAATAAGAGGCCTTGACCAGCACTTTCTCTTGAATAGGGTCACCTTCTTGGAAATGGAGATCCTATATGTTGTGGAAGGAAAGCCACTTTAAAGCATGGCACAAGAACAGCCAGTTACTGAAAGGACCATTACAAAATTATCAACCAATGGTATTCATCGCTCTCACAGTTTAGTTGTCAACCCATTTATCCCAGGAAAAAGATGGCATACAACAGTGGACAGCATGGAGGTAGAAGCGAGGTGTGTGGAAAGGTTTCGGAAATGTGGAAATACTCTTTGTGAAGATCACAAGAAAAAGAACGGTTGCAGAGGGGACCACTATGGTGTGCTCCCTGGAATAACAATACAAAGCAAGTTTAAAACTCTAAGGATGGAGGAGGCAGTTGTGCAGGGACTGCCGAAGTCAACTTTGAAGGCAACCTGGACTGTGTATGAAAACGCCCACAGCACCTTCTCCTTTTCCAATGCCACGGAACAGAGACATCTGGATGAGGGTAGGGGAGGAGCAGCAGTGGGGACCGGGGCCCAGCTGCCGTGGTCAGGACGGAATGTATGCAGCAGCCTGCTGGTCTCCGGCGGTGCAAGCTTTGGGGCGCGGCCCCTGGGCTCCCAAGCAGCCCGCTCCCTGCGCCCCCTGCCGGCCACGTGGACAGTGCGCGCTCCGGCTTCCGCGCCCCAAGCTGACTCTCCAATTCAGCCCAGAGGAAGACAGGGACAAGAGCCTCTTTCTCCTGATGTCACAAAACATTAAAGAAAGAGCCCCCTCCAGCCAGCAGTCAAAAACTGATCCCCGAGCTTCGGCTTTCCTGCTTTCCAGGCTTTTCTTCGAGAATAACTTAGTGACACGGGGGGAAATGATGAGAACCCGAGGCTAACCCTAAAATCTTCCCCAGGAATCGAGAGCCCCACATTTCCAGTCTCGTATTGGAGGGGTGGGGCTTGACTTGGTTGTTTCGGCATTGGCTCGGATTTGGGGGCGGGGGGGCGTCGTAGTGTCCCCGCCCAAGCTGGGCGATCCAGCGCGACACTGATGCTGAAAATGGGAGGTGGGTGGGCGCCTCCGGGTCCCCAGCTCCATCCCTCCGGGTCCCCGCCCACGGCCTCTACGGAACAGGCTGCGTGGCAGCTTTTGTCCAGCACGCGGCGCTGCGCTCGCTTTTATCCCCGGAGCCGCGTCGGTTCGTGCGCTGACAGCCGGGCTCAGCCAGTCGCCAGGAATTGAGTAGCGTTCTTTGAATCTGCGGCTTTCATGACGTCTCCCTGCGTGGTCCATCACTTTTCTCCTAGCCGGGGATTTTTTTTTTCCGCCACTCTCGCCTTTTCCCCCTTCCCTCCACCCGGTCTCCCTCCCCGGCCCCTGCCCGAACGCACACCCCTCCGCCCCTCCGTTGGCCCCCGCGCCCAGCCCTCCTCTCCACTCTCGGCCAGAAGGAGCCAGTTTGAAGACGGCCGCACCTGGCCGGAGAGGTTGGGCGGGCGGAGGGGTGGGATCCGCGGGACCCGGGAAGATAGACCCAGACCTGGATGCACCGCGAGGAGAATGGAGTCTCCTAAAGCCTCCCGGGGCTGATGTAAAATTTGACCATCTGATTCCAGTTTTCCTTCCCTTTTCTTTTTTTATTTCCTCCCCTCGCCATCCATCGTGTAGTGAATTATTAAACCTTGCTCCGTTCCAAGAGAGGAGATCATGATTGAATGAAGCCACCGAGTCCGCAGCAAGGTAAGCGGTGCGCTGAGTTGCTCGAAGGCAAGAAGCTGGCATCAATCTAGGCAAGAGGTTCTGTGCCCTCGGGTCACCAACTCCCCTTCCCCAGTTTCCGCCGCTGCATGCATCTCCACTCTGATGAGAAACAGGATGCCCAAGTCAAGCGAAGAGGGAGAAGCAGGTTACATAACAGAAGGGAAATCTGTTTCATACGGTTCTCATTAGCAACTGAAAACTCGCAAGGGGGGCGGGGAGAGGAGGGGTCTGCATGCCCGGGGCTCGGAGAAACCCAGTCAGTTATTACAGACATCATTTCAACATCCGTTGGCAAAGATGAAATGCACGGATTAACTGGCAGGGGTGGCTTGCTATGTAGTCATTTACAGTTGGGAAAAGCCCATTGTCTTTGTGGAAAGCTGTATCCTTGTTCTTCTTTGCGTATAGGAGCAGAGGAGAGAGAGAGGAAGGGAGAGAGAGAAAAAGAGATAGGGAGAGAGAGAGAGAAGGAGGGAGAGAGAAACATGAGGAGGAAAAGGAAAAGTGAGGGGTGGGGAGAAACAAGCAGAGAATGGGAAACAATAACTCCTAACTGTTCTCTATCAATATAACCAGAGATGTGATATGATGACTACCAACAGTGAATAGGAAGTTCTCCCTAGAAGTAAACTGAATTATTTTGTAATTGGAAGAGAAAAAAACAAACAAACAACAACAACAAAAACCCTTCAGATAAAATGAGATGTTTACTGCATTTAGGGGGTTGGATGAATTCACTGGCTTGCTTCCTCATGGGTATATTTTCATTTGCAACAAGACATTAAGCTTGGATGAGTTTTTAACAGAAATGACATTTGTATGCGCCAAACCCAATAAAACCTTGGGTCAATCCACAGGTATATCTCTTGTACCTGGTTCAGTATGGAGAGACTCTTAGAGAGGAAACATATCTTGATAGAAACAGCCACAGTAATGGGGTGAGATTAGTGGAGAAACAAAATACCAGCATTTTCCAAAGAATCCCGCCTCCACTACCAAAAAAAGGGAGGGGAGGGGGCACTCCAGTACTTAGGGGTTGGAGATTTATTATACATTTACAGTGTCTCCTGCCAGCTTTTACCCAAAGTCTGATGATCCAAGGAGCCACCACAGAACCGGGTGTAATGCCACATTCCAGTTAGCACCATTCCCTGCCTACATTTCTTCTGAAAAACGGAGGAGAGAGATGCCCAGGAGCTGCTTAGAAAGAAGAAGGGGCTTTGCTACAGTCAGGGCTGAGCTAACTAAGCTTCGCCCATTTTGCCTGGAGAAAAAGAGAAAGAGCTCAAGTCTCCATGGCGACCCAGGTGGGAGGGGAGAAGGCAGCTCCAGTTACAAATAAACGTTGTACAAAACTTTCCCAGATCCAATCAAAGAAATAAGGGAGCCGCGTCCCCTGCAGAGGGTCCCAGGGCATAGGTTTTGCCCAGATTCCTGCCGGCGACCGGCGAGGGGGTGCCTAGGACTGGCCGGTCTCCATCAGACCTCCCAAAGTTGCCCAGGAGCTGCTGAGATTGTTGGACAGCGGGTTTCGGATTCAGCACCAAGGCCAGAGCACAGGCGCCCGCATTCCCACCCCAGACGGCTACCCCAGCGAACACTATTAAGTCCCTTTCGTCGCGGGAAGTCAATCGCTTTCTATAAAGGAACGATTCCCTTGTCAGTGCAGAATCTGGATATATGATTGTGCACGGAATTGCGTGGGACAGAGAAGCTTGCAAATCACCCATTTCACGCATGGCGGTGCATCACAATAGCTATTCAAAGTCAAGAACATTGAAACCGCAAACGATCCAAGCTGAACTGAGAATGGGGAAAATCCCATCCTCTGGGGAGAAAAGGAAAACACACACACACACACACACACACACACACGCACGCACGCACGCACACACATGCACACCACGGATCAGTCCCTGATGAGAGTTGTCTAGTTTCAACCGAGCCCCTATGGCTTCAGAAGCTTCCATTCATTCCTCGCCCTCTCGCTCTCCTCTCTAACTTTTTGTCGGGCTTAGACGGCAGAAAGGCGCTGTGGGAGCGCTGCGGTCAGCGAGATACCAGCCAATCAACTCCTGTCTAGGGGTCCTGAGGCCCAGGAGGGTGGAGGGATAGTTTACTCTTAGTCCAGACCTGACAGACTTCTCAGCAGAGCTGGTGAGCTCCAGGAAAGGGAAAAGGGTGTGTTTGTGAGATCAGTGACTAACTTTAAGTCAGCATGTGAACAGAGCGACTACATTTCCAAGGTCGCAGGCATAGTAAACAGAGGAGGAGTTACTTCTCCTAATAGAAACAAGGAAGAAACTGTGCAAGAGGGGCCGATTTATTATCATTCCAGTTCCATTTCAACATTCCTACAGGGGAAACAGGTAAGTTCCTCTGGCCATTCTGTCTTCACCTTAGGCAAGAATGGTCTGTGCCGCGCCCTCCTCTTCTTTGGTACCAGGTCCTCACACACCCCCTCCCCTGGACTGATACTGATGAGGAAAAATAGTAGACGAAGGTGGAAGCCACATTTTGAAGAGGAAGCTTTAAAAGGGGGCATCCAGGGATTAGAAGGCACAGTTTGAATTACAGAGCCCAGGCATGGTTTGGCAACTGGATGGAAATGCTGATAAAGACTCTGCAATACCCCTGGCTGCCATTCTCTTTTGAGGATGCCCTTATGCATGTGTGGTCTTGAGCTAGTTCTGGTTTGTTGTTTATGAAGGTAAACGATATGTATCCTGGTTTTCCTTGCTGGGCACTTCATTGCTTTCTAAAGATGATGCATGCAGAGCACTCAGGACTTGGATAAAACTGTGTGTTTATACCTTCCGGTCTTTTTTATTCCCCTGTGATCACTAGTGAAGGCAGAAGCAATATATTCTAAATCTGGGCAAAGGGTGAAATGTTACACTACATTTACCTTTTGGTTCCAGATGGACATGGACACGTTTGTCTATCATTTAATTTGAAAGAGTAGACAGAAGTGACGTATGGAGTATTATTAGGACTTAAACAAGGCAGTATTTACCCTGCCTTTGCTGCATCTGATCTTATGAGCAGAAGGAAAGTAGACATTACTTATGAAGATAAATCCAGACAAGAATATGGATTATTAGATAAAGTAATGTATTTGTGAGTTCTAAAGTTCAATTTCTCTCATGAATTAAAAAATAAAAAAAGACGGGAATGAAATTGCTCAATCAATTATCTTTAGTTCTGGTAGATTACATATGTTCATGAATTCAGTGCTAATTTACCAAACTATGGTTTGCTTTCTTCCTGGGTGGCTAATTGCTGAGCAAAGTGTCATTATGTCCTGATGACAGTGAATAGCATACTCCAAAATAATTGGTTTACCCATTTCAAGCAGGATTTGTTAAGGAGAGCAACTTAATTTTATGCCTGCATACCTGGAACCATTTTGTAATTTTTTTAAATATAATTTTGATACCTCACCCTGGTATTTCCTAAACATCAGTAAATATATGCACTTGTATGACCCAGGTCTTCATTTAATACACAGGACTGGTATAGGCTGTTTCCTTTGAGTATATAAAAATGCTTCAGTTCACTCTCATATTCCTCCCTATCTTCTCACAAACTATCCTTACTTTACAGGATAAAAAGAAAATAAAACATGAAAATACCTGTTTAATAAACAATAGAAAAAAATTCATTGAATATTAAAAATAAGTAAATATAAGGGTGGAGGAAGGAATAAATTAGGAGCTTGGGATTAGCAAATACACACTACCATATATAAAATAGATACACAACAGGGGCCTACTGTATAGCACAGGGGACTATATTCAATATCTTGTAATAACCTATAATGGAAAAGAATCTGTAAAAGAATATACATATAGATATAGATATAGATTCACATCCATATATATAAAACATATATATAACTGAGTCACTTTGCTGTACACCTGAAACTAACACAACATTGTAAATCGACATTACTTCAATTATTTTTAAAAGAAAGTAAGTACAGCCTTATGGAAGCTTAACCCCATTCACGGGTAGAAAATATTACTTTCTTCAAGGGTTGAATGTTGATAAAATGAATTTTCATGGAAACAAGACAAACCTTCTTTTTCAAAATGAGCAGGTAGGCAAGATAAAGCTTTTCTTTTTTTCACTATTCCTTAATCAAATGTTATGTAAGTAATATGTTGGTTAATAAGGGAAATGGACCAGAGAGAGTCAGAATAAGGGGAAGGAAGGGAGCTAGGGAAAAAAGCAGTTATTTATTTTTACCAGGTTTAAAGTCATGATACTTTTCAAAGCAAGGTAGGTTTTTTAGTTCATTGTATCAGCACTTTAAAGTTCGTGGACTTGAGATGTTTAAATTCAACAAATTTGGATTTGGCTTACTAAGATGGCATTTACTGTTTCTTTTATTTTTAATAATTTCATTTAAGTACCAAAAGAGAATTGGTTCCATCTTGATTTTTATAAAATTATTAAATTTGGTAGTATCAATAAAAGAGGAATTGGTAAAGTTAAAAAATTATCAGGACACTTCTGTTGAATTAAGGTATTTTTCTTTAATTGCACTTCAAGTATTTAAAGAGATATAAAAATAAAATAAAGTCATTTGGGGGCTTCCCTGGTGGCTCAGTGGTTGAGAGTCCGCCTGCCGATGCAGGGGACGCGGG